ACTACTATGTAGAATTTGATTAGTTGATTATTTCATAAGCTAACATATTTTTTTATCTTTTTATTTTACTATAAAAATGTTATCTTTGTTTTTTTAGATATATGATGATTTTGTTTTATTAGATTTCATTCTATATAAATTATTAATTTCGAAATTATGTTAAAATATTAAATTAATATTAGATATGTTTATGTATATTCAAAATAGATATGTTTACATATATTTAATTTTGAATTTAATTGTCCATTTTTTATGGTAAAAGATTATTATGATTTCCATAAATATAGATAGTTGTTTTTTTTTTTTTTGCTGTCATTAATTCTGTTTGGCAACTGGAATATATTTCATGAAATTTTTTTTTTTAAAATTGGGGGGGTGTTTAGCTTCAAGTTGTTTTTCCCAATTAATAGTATAGATAAATAAATACATATATGTGGCTGTGTATATATTTATTTATTTATCATCTAAGTACATTATCTTACTTTTTAGAAAAAATATATATGGATATATATATATTCATTAAATCTTAACTTTATATAAAATTAAAATATATGGATATATATATTCATTAAATCTTAATCTATATATATATAGTTAGCATTTTCTCTCTTCTCATGATGCCACCTAATCATCCACTTAAGCCATATTTTTGTTTTTACATTAAAATAAATTTTAAACATTCATTTAGTGCATATTTATGTTACTTCTATGAATAGTTTATATTAAAAATATATATAAAATAAATGAAATGTTAAAATAAGAAAAAAAGACTTTATTTTTATATTACTGGTAATAATATAATTCAACTATCATTTTAAATTGATCATAGTTTAAAATTTTAAATATGTTACTGAGTTTTAGAATGAAAGTAAATTTTAAATTTATGGTACGTAAAATAAAACAACATTTATGTAATTGTATATATATAATTATAAAGAAGAAAAATAAAATTGAAAGTGAAATATTAGTTTATAACATGATCTAAAAAAAATAAAATGATATTTCATAAATTTCATAAATTGAATCAAATGCTTTTAATTAAAATTTAAGTATTGAAAGATAATAATTAAAGAGAAAATAGTTATACTATTTTTTGAAAATCAATTAAAAAAACAGTAAAATATCACAATATGAATAAAAATTTAACAAAACAAAATTATTAACCTCCCGCGCGGAGCGCGGGTCAACTGCTAGTTTTATATAAAATTAAGTATATATATTCATTAAATCTTAATCTTATTTTTATATAAAATTAAGCTTATTTTCTAATTTATGTATTGTTTTCCATTGCTTTTCTTTTGTCTAGTAAATTTCAAAGTAATATGATTCAGCTTTGATGTCAAAAACTAAAAATGAGTCAGATTTATAACAAAAAACAAAATGATTCAGATTTATAACAAAAACAAAACAAAATATATTATTTAGTGTATCTACAAAGACCAAATTACCACAAGATTTAAGAGCTTCACCGACTAAAAGCTAAGGGTACATTCGTCATTTAATTTGTGGTTTTTAACTTTTTAATCTTCAATTCATAATTTCAAAAAAAAAAAAAAAAAAATCTTCAATTCATAAATCCTCTAGAAAATAAAACAAAAGGGGGTAAATTCCTTAAACCCTAAACGCCATTGTTATCTCCTTCTTCACAAGTTTTGTCAAAAAAGTTTGAAGATTTAATAGAAGCAGTGTCGATGGTAGCACCAGATGAACCTTCGTTTTATGCTGCGAACCAATCAGGTTTATCTTTTGGTTTCATCTTCATCTTCATCTTCTTCCGTACGTTTTACTGAAATCGGAGATTTTTCTTTGATCAGAGAGAGATTTTCTATATTTTACAGGACGAACTTGGGCTTCACTTGTTTCGGGAGGTTGTGATGGTGACGAGGTTGAGATTGTGAGCAGTGTTAAGGGTTTTGATACATTGTCTCTGTCTTTGGCGGGAAAATCGGAATGTTGCGATGGTGATCAAGACGACCGTTCTGGTCAGTCAATTTCTCCGATGGCTAAGATTGGTACGGAAGATTCTGTTTTTTCGGAAACGGTGGGGAAAATTTTTGGGGTTTTAAAAGCTGTGAAAGAGATTGGGGAGGATGGTGTAGGGAAGTTCGAAACTTTGAATGTTTCTCATGAAATTGAGAAAGATGAAACTGGCGAGAGGGAGCACTTAGTAACTGGTGTGGAAGAAGGAATTGGTGTTGAAGCTGCTCTAAAAGAGGAGATTGAGGAGGATGGTGCGGTTAAGTTCAAAACTGTGAGTGTTGATCTTGAAGAAAAAGAGGTCGGGGATGAGAAATTGGTTTCTTGTGAAATTGAGAAAGAGGAAGCCAATGGATCGAAATATGGTATGCCTTGTGATGAGGTGAAAGAGGTAGATGTTTTAGTATCTAGGGATGGAACCAAAGAGGAAAACTGTCTGCTTAGTGATGAAGTTGATGATGACGACAACATTGATCAGATTGTAGAAGAAGAGGCTATCAAGTTAAGAAACTTCATTGTGGACTTATTAACCTCAGAATCTCTGCATGTTGATGTCGTTGATAAGACTACCCTGGATATGCAGGAGACTGTTTCTACACGTGAGTTTACCGCTAAAGACTTGGAAATCGAACAAGCTTCCTTCGGAGAAAGTGTTGTGGGGGTTGGTGGGTTTGAAAGTGATGAAGAAACTGAAGAGATGAGAAAAGTTTATTCTGGTAGTCATGCCCATTCCGATGAAACAAACATTCCTCACCATCATGTAGATAGGATTGATGGTCAGATTGTCTCTGATTCTGACGAGGACGTAGACACGAATGATGACGATGAAGAGAAAACGTTTGATTCTGCAGCTTTGGCTACGTTTCTAAAGGTGGCCACCAGTGGAAGTTCAGATGGTGGTAATTTTACCAAATCGGAGGATGTAATGAAGCTTTTCTCTATGGAACCTCCAGCTGGTCTGGGGTCATCATTAAGAGTTGTTCAATCTGCCGCCCCACTTCCCAACCGTTCCAACATCTTTCCCAGTCTAAAACTTGCAATGGGTGGAAAGATTGACAATAACTTGAGTGAGGAAGAGAGACATAAGTTGGAAAAACTGCAAAGTATACGTGTAATATATTTGCGTCTTGTGTATAGGTTGGGGCAGTCGGTAGATAATTCAATAGCAACACAGGTTCTCTACGATCTTACATTTCTTACGATGAGGCATTTTGGTCAGTCATCCAGTCTTGATGTTGCAAAGAAGATGGCTATGGAGGCTGAGGGAAAAGAAGATTTAAATTTCTCTCTAAACATACTGGTCCTTGGAAAAGCTGGAGTAGGAAAAAGTGCTACGATAAATTCCATCTTGGGCGATCAGAAGGCATCCATTCATTCATTTGAACCATCCACCACTTCGGTTCAAGCAATTTCTGGAACTGTGGGTGGTGTCAAGATTACAATCATCGATACTCCGGGCTTAAAGTCTTCTGCCATGGATCAAAGTGCCAATTCCAAAATGTTGTCTTCAGTGAAGAAGATAATGAAAAAGTTTCCCCCTAATGTGGTTCTTTATGTTGATCGTCTTGATGCCCAGAATAGATGCTTGAACAATACGCCCTTGCTAAGGACAATTACTGCTTCTCTTGGTTCATCCATATTGAAAAACGCCATAGTGACATTGACCCATGCTGGTTCTGCCCCTCCTGATGGCCAATCTGGCACCCCTTTGAGCTATGATGCGTTTGTAGAACAGTGCTCACATATTGTTCAACAGTCTATTGGACAAGCCGTTGGTGATCTATGTGTGATAAACCCAAGATTAAGAAATCAAGTTCCCCTTGTTGAGAATCACCCCTTGTGTAGGAAGAACCGGGAGGGAGTGAAGGTCCTTCCGAATGGCCAAACTTGGAGACTTCAACTGTTGCTTATGTGCTACTCAAAGAAGATTATTATTGATGCAAATTCTCTATTTAAGCCTCAAGAACCATTGGACCATCGTAAAATATTTGGTTTCCAAGTTCAACCAATACCTCTCCCTAACTTGTTGTCTTGGCTGTTGCGGTCCCGTGCACATCCTAAGCTCCTTGTAGATCAAGGTAGCGATAGTGTTGATTTTGATATCGAAATTGATGATGTGTCTAATTCTGAACAGGAGAATGGGGAAGATGACGAGTATGACCAGCTGCCACCATTTAAGCCTCTTCGGAAAACTCAAGTTGCAAAACTCTCAAAGGCACAGAGAAAAGCGTATTTTGACGAGTATGATCTCCGGGTAAAGCTTCTGCAGAAAAAACAATGGAGGGAGAACTTGAGGAGGATGCGAGAAATAAAGAGAAACGGAGAGAAGAAGGTCCCTGAATATCCTGAAGTAGAAGAGGCTCCACCTGCATTGCCTCCTGTTATATTACCGGATATCGTCTTGCCACCGTCATTTGACAGTGATTACTCATCTTATCGTTACCGTTCTCTGGAATCCTCTTCGCAGCTTATTACCAGGTCAGTGTTGAACCACGAAGGTTGGGACCATGATAGTGGACTTGACTGTGTTATCGTAGACCAGAGTCTTGCGATAGCTAAACAATTCCCCGCCGCAGTTACTGTCCAAGTGACCAAGGACAAGAAAGAGTTCAACATCCTTTTAGACTCCTCTATATGTGCTAAGCACGGGGACAATGGATCTACTATGGCAGGGCTTCTTATCCAGGGAGGTGAGCAACTAATGTATTTGTTCAAAGGAGAAACCAAATTCAAGAAGTCAAAGAGGAACGAGATAACTCTTGGAGGGTTAGTGACGTTCTTTGCTGGGAGTATTCCCATTGGTGTCAAAGTCGAGAATCAGATGGCCCTCGGAAAACGGCTAGTCCTCGTGGGAAATGCAGGGGCCACTCGGTCACAAGGAGACTCAGCTTTTGAAGCAAAACTCGAGGCCAGACTTAGAGAAGCTGATTTTCCAATAGGACAAAACCAATCCCATGCGGGATTGTCTCTAACGAAGTCGAAAGATGATTTAACCGTCACAGCCAATGTACGATCCGAAGTCTCTATCGGAAGACAAACAAAGGTAACAGCTTCTGCAAGTCTTGACACCAAGAGGACTGGGCGTTTTAGTGTCCGAACCAGCAGCTCAGATCAGTTGCAGCTTGCTCTTATGGCCATTCTTCCTTTTGCCATGTCCATCTACAAGAGGATTATTAGATCGGAAGAGAACTGACAATGATCTTTAGGATTACGGATTTTCAAACTTTGGATTAGAAAACAATTTGGATTTGTTTAAAAAAGTTGAATTTCTTTGTCTAATTCATTACATTTCTCTTGTATTATCAAGAGAATCTTCCTAATTCTCTGATTATGTTTTTTGCCAACTTCGATGTTTGTGATTGAAAATTTATATCAAGAGTTGGGCTTTTTGTATTGAAAAATGTTCATATTTAAATTTACTAATAAATTAAGAAGAGCCCAAAAACATTAAAAAAAAAAAAACAAAAAATGGACGATGAAGCAGAGAAATTGAGAGCAGCTTTTGGAGGAGATTCGTCGGATGGAGAAGATGGAGCGGAACAAGCGATCGGAGATTCGACGGTATGGGAGCGAGTGGAGGAGATCAATGGTTTATGGCTCTGTAGAAACTTTCTCCCTGTTGCTCACCAATCTGATTTGCTCTCCGCCATTCTAAACGGTCGGAACCTTAGGGCTCTTGTTCGGTTTCATAATCTAATGCTGTTTCCTATCAATTCTTGCTAAACTTAAATTTGTTTTGCAGAAGGTTGGTTCGTCGAAGAATCTATTAACCAGGTACCAAACCCCAGTCATACTGTTCTTTCCTTGGTTACTTGAAGGCAATGTTAATTATTAAGCGGCTAGAACAAAATTGTGAGAACTTGTGCTTGCATTTCACACTTGCCTATCCATACACTTTAAACTGGATCTGAAACCCTGTTTCAATGGAAATTGTTCGATTCCAGTGATAGGACATTGATCCAAATAAGCTTTGGTTGGTGTATGAATAAGTGAATAGTCTCTTTCCTAGGCAGCGTTTGTTTCCTCTTGAAGTGATTTGGAACATTTGGAGCCAAATTGTATCGATGCATTCTGGTTATTTCTGATTTTTGTTTCTTTTCAGAATTTGGGAAACAAATACGCTTTATGATTGATTTTTGGGTTTTAGCCTTTTAGGTAGGTGTGCTGCTGCTTCTTGTAGTTAAGTGTGAGATGATACAGAAACTTAAGCTTCTGTCTTTCTTTTGTGTGTGTGTGTGTGTGTGTTTTTCTTGGGAAAGGCGATGAGATTTGGTGATCTCCCTTCATGGGCAATAGAAGTATCTGATCTTATCCGTGAGACTGTGGAATCTGTTGATCTTCGAGTGTTGCCTGCTGATTTACTGTGGAGAGAACCTCTGTTCGACCAGCTCATTGTCAATTTATACCAACCAGGTGAGGTATGTCACTTTTCACTTTTTTTTTTCTTCTAGAGGAACCAATAGATAACAGCTTGTTAAGGTTTCGAAGAGGACTAGAATTAGATGGTTTAAGAGTTGCGGAATAGGTGAGAGCTGATAATAACCAGTCATATAAAAGCTAGAAGAAACGAATTAGAGTAACAACTTGTTTGGGTTTCTTGGAGCATTACAATGAAATATTTTAAGAGAGTTAGTGAAAGTAGATAATCAGAATTAAGATGACGAATGCAAAAAAAACTGGATGATCTTATAACAGGGGATATTTCAAAAGCTAGAAGAGAGTAACAGCTTGTTAAGGTTTCTTGGAGCATTACAATTAGAGAGTTTCAAAATGGGTGAAAGCAGTATCAGTCATGGAATAGTCCGACATTAGATCAAACATAATATGACAATGCAATGTTCTTTTTACAGGGGATCTGTGCACATGTTGATCTTCTGCGTTTTGAAGATGGAATTGCAATTGTCTCCCTGGAATCACCTTGCGTGATGCGGTTCACTCCCGCAGAAAAGGAAGAAGAAGAATATGTGGATGTTTTGTTGAGCCCGGGATCTCTCATTCTCATGTCCGGAGAAGCTCGGTATCAATGGAAACACGAGATTAATCGAAAGCAGAATGGGTTTCAAGTTTGGGAAGGAGAACAAATTGATCAGAAAAGAAGAATCTCCATTACTTTGAGAAAACTATGTCAAGCTTAAGGGTGTGTGAAGCTGATATTTAGACTAGGTAATATATTTGTAACTGTGAAACTGTGATTGATTGATAGGAACTATAATGTTTAGACTAGGTAATCCTCCTCATATCTTACATTGGTAACCTATTAAGGTCATCAAATTTTTGTTTGATAAATTGAAATTGAAGTAGAGATTTTCGATTAATTATTAAGGTACTGTACTTTGTTTTTATAATATAAGAGAATGTACGAGAATTATTGATAAAACTGGTGATATGCATAATATATCAACATGAAGAAGTCTAGTTTACTATTTGATTTTTATTTACGATTGTATAAAACTTTTTCATCTGAATTTGAATACATTTTTTAAAAATAATATAAATAACTATATATTTAGTGATTTCGTTTATGTTTTTATTGTACAAGTGTAGTAAGAGATTCAACAGTCATATATACACGATTTTCTTTTTCTTTCTCCTGTCGTTTTTAGTTATGTATATAAAGAGAAAGATACTTTCGAAAATATAAATGAAGTTAAAAAGAATGAGAGCAAAATTTAGAAAAGTTATAAAAAAAAACATTTGGTATATTTAATCTTCATAGTGCTATTTTTTTCTATAACAGCTTCATTCATTTCTAATCAAACAATATATACATACAAATTATAAAATCTAATATTTTGTTACATATCAAGAACTAATGTTTAAAAAATACTGTAATATCAAAAGATAATAAATTCCAAAAGCCATTTGGTGTATAACCTTACTAACTAAATGTCTCTTGGTTGACAAAATAAAACACCTAATCACACGTCTAATTAGTAAATTTAACTAATTGAACAAGTTGAGAATCTTTTGCTATTTATGCTCCTCTTTCTTTTCAACTAGTTTTCTAATTTCTATATAACAGAAAAAAAACTCCATAAAACAACACTATTACGAAAAAATGACGAGTTGACTTTTCAACGGTGTTAGATTTCTAATTTTTATTTATTTATGTATAGATCTATAACTGCATCAACGGTCAAGATCGTTGATCACAAATCACACGCTCTAAAATATCGCCACGTGTCATAAACACTACTAACACAGCACTACTCCTACCACCGACAATTAAGTGAAATCAGACAATCTTAACTGTCATGTCCAAAAACTCAAAAATCTCTCCTTCTCTTCTCATTCTCTTCTCTTGCGTCTAGTTAGTAACTTTTAATTTTAACAGTGTTATCAAATTCGAATCTCTTACATTAATGGAAACTCAGATCTTCTCTTAATAAACACACTCACATACACAAAAGCACAGATCTTTACAAGAGCATCTCTAAGAAGAAAGAAGAGAAGATGTTTGAGAGGTGTTTGGGAGCTTACCGGTGCCGGAGAATCCAAAGAGCTTTACGCCAACTAAAGGTAACGATTCTCTGTCTCGTTCTCACCGTGGTTGTCCTACGCAGCACCATCGGCGCCGGTAAATTTGGTACACCGGAGCAAGATCTCGACGAGATCCGTCAACATTTCCACGCACGCAAACGAGGTGAGCCTCACCGTGTCCTCGAAGAAATCCAGACCGGAGGTGATTCTACCGGCGACGGTGGTGGTAACTCCGGCGGGAGTAATAACTACGAGACCTTTGACATCAACAAGATATTCGTAGACGAAGGTGAGGAAGAGAAACCCGACCCGAATAAACCTTACACTCTCGGACCCAAGATATCAGATTGGGATGAACAGAGATCTGATTGGTTAGCTAAGAACCCTAGCTTCCCCAATTTCATCGGACCTAACAAGCCGCGTGTTCTTTTGGTTACTGGTTCGGCGCCAAAACCATGTGAGAATCCTGTCGGTGACCACTATCTTTTGAAATCCATCAAGAACAAGATCGATTACTGTAGGTTACACGGGATTGAGATCTTTTACAACATGGCTCTTCTCGATGCGGAGATGGCTGGTTTTTGGGCAAAGCTTCCATTGATTAGGAAGCTTTTGTTGTCACATCCTGAGATTGAGTTCCTTTGGTGGATGGATAGTGATGCTATGTTTACTGATATGGCGTTTGAGCTTCCATGGGAGAGGTATAAAGACTACAATCTGGTGATGCACGGATGGAATGAGATGGTTTATGATCAGAAGAACTGGATTGGGTTGAACACTGGGAGTTTCTTGCTTAGGAACAATCAATGGGCGCTTGATCTGCTTGATACTTGGGCTCCTATGGGTCCTAAAGGGAAGATTCGTGAGGAAGCTGGTAAGGTTTTGACCCGTGAGCTCAAGGATAGGCCCGTGTTCGAAGCTGATGATCAGTCTGCAATGGTTTATTTGTTGGCTACTCAGCGAGACGCTTGGGGAAATAAGGTAAGAAAGCTGAAACTTGATTGGTTTAAAGTTGTGGACTTTATTCCATTTCAGTAGTAGTTTGATGTGGGGAAAAAATTACTATATTGGGAAATTTCAGTCTACAACGTCCATTGATCACATAAAGATTGTTTTCTTTTTGCTAACAAATCACAATGTGAGTTGCTTCTTGTCATTAACATCTCTTGATCACATAAAGATCAATTTTTTGCTCACAAATCACAATGTGAGTTGCATCTTGTCGGCTTATAACATCTCTTCATCACGTAAAGATCCTTCTTTTGCTCACAAATAACAATGTCAGTTGCATCTTGTGGTTTATCATGTCTCTTGATCATCACAGATCACAATGTGAGTTGCATCTTGTGGTTTTCAAACATTTTTGTGAAGTCTATTATTGAAGTGAACTCAAATCTTTGCTTAGTTTTGGTTTTTTGAGTTACTCATTTGAGCCACTGCATTGTTGTAGGTATACCTGGAAAGCGGATACTATCTTCACGGTTACTGGGGGATTCTCGTGGACCGATATGAAGAAATGATGGAGAACTACCACCCTGGTCTAGGCGATCACAGATGGCCATTGGTAACTCACTTTGTCGGTTGCAAACCGTGTGGGAAATTTGGGGATTATCCGGTTGAACGGTGCCTGAAACAAATGGACAGAGCCTTTAACTTTGGGGATAACCAGATTCTACAAATCTATGGTTTCACTCACAAATCTTTGGCTAGTCGCAAAGTGAAGAGAGTGCGAAACGAGACTAGCAATCCGCTGGATATGAAAGACGAGCTTGGGTTGCTTCATCCCGCGTTTAAGGCGGTTAAGGTACAAAACAATCAAGTTTGAATGGGATCTTCGTCTAGGATTTGTGTTTTGTTTCTTGCTATATTTAATGTCTTGCGTCGTCTTTGGTTGTTGTTGTACTAAGATGGATGATGATAAAAGTAATGTGCAGAGACATCAGTTTATTCATTGGTTTTACTTTGTCTCTACGTCTCTAGGGAGTTGTATAACGAAATCAAAATGTTGCCTTTCTTCTTTGTAATCCATTTTAGAACTTGAGATTTTGTAGCTTCATGGATCAATAATAATCTATGTTAATTCAAGACCATTTTTTTTCTTTTCTTGATTTCGAATATAACTAAATTTATCAACTAAACTAAACTAAACTAAACTAAGCATTCATATACAGTATATAGTTTGGAGATCATACTTCACAAGTTTGTGTAGTTTTCTCAAAATTTAAAAATATTGCATGTGGTCAAATTCTTTTGCAATTTGCAGTACGGGGCTTTCTAATTTTGTTGTTTGTTTTTTAGCTCTTGACTCTTTTAAGTATAAAAATCACATGGAACGTACATACGGGCCTTTAATAGGCCTTATAAAAGCCCATTAACATGTGAAAACAATAATCCCGGCCTGAATATACAAAAATCCAAAGAAGGAAACAAAAAAAAAACTCAGAGATAATGTAATGGTAGAAATAACCCTTGTGGAAAAATATTGAGTGGCCAAGCAATTTCGGGTTGGGAGAATCAACAAAGATACAAAAAAGATTTCTTTCATCTTTTATAAAACGCAATCTCAAATGTTATCTCGTCTTTTTTTTTTTGGTTCTTGTTTGGTTGTGTGTGGTTTTTATTTGTTTTTTTTTAGTAAGGAGAAGATATTACAAAACCCTAATTCTCGTGAATTTTAAAACCCTAGTTTTTTAGTGAGATCCTACAAAGATTTTCAAGAATGAAGATACTATCAACATTTGGAGAATTATGAATAATAAAAGCAAAAGATTAAACAGTAAATACTTTCCAAACAAAAGTGATAAAACTATCAACATTCTTTCTCTACATTTTAATTCAAAACAATATCGACATTTTCATACAAACTCCATAAAAAATTTAAATAAATTATACTATTTTTTTTTTCAAATTTAACCATAACTGATAATTTCCTCATTAACAGAAAAAAAAAAAAACTCTTCGTTTGCCTTTGCAATCTTGAGCAAAAAAACTACAGCTTAGAACACGACAGCGTTTTTAGGTGCAGCTCGCATTGGAGACTTCACCAACTTAGAGGTAAGGCTAAATTCGTAATTTAGGTCATCCTCAAAAAACAAACTTGAGAAGATAAAATCCCAAAGCAAAAGAGTCATTTTTTTTGTTCGTTCACTGACCTTATCTCTCTCTCTCCCAATTCTCTCTTCTTCAAAGAGAGAGCTGCAAAATTCTCAATCATAAAACTCGCCACACGAACACAATAAAAAGGGTAAATTCCCTTAAACCCTTTAATCCTATCCCATCGCTATCTCCTTCCTCCACAAGTTTTGTGGAGATAAGTCTTTGATAAATCCTCAGTAGCAAAGCGGATATGGACTCTAAGTCAGTAACTCCGGAACCAGCGAACCCCTTCTACGCTTCGGGGCAATCAGGTTTCTTTCTCGTTTCTTACTTCGTTAATCTGGTCTTTTGGGAATAGGGTTTTAATCGGAAAGTTTGTTTTTTTTTTTTTTTTTTGGTTACAGGAAAGACCTATGCTTCCGTTGTCGCCGCCGCTGCTGCTGCAGCCGCCAGTAAGGAGGATGGCGGTGCTGTGAGTAGTGTGAAGGAGTTGGATTCTTCTCCGGAGGCTCTGTCTGGTAATTCGGATAAGGGTGGAGCTGATGATGTATTTGAAGCGGAGAAGGAGAAGCCGAATTTGAAGGGTGGCGGCGAGGGTGATTCCTTAAAGGAGGATTCTGCTACCACTGAGGCTGCTCCGAAGCCCGTGGTTGTTTCTGGTGAAACAATTGGGGAAGATGATGTTAAATCGTTGCCTCCGAAGCCAGAGGATGTTTCTGAAGGTGTAGGGGTTGCGGAGGAGGAAAAGAAGGTTCTTGAGGGCGTGCAAGATATTAAAGACGATGTTGAGAGTAAGATTGAAAATGGGAGTGTTGATGTTGGAGACAAACAAGCTTCCACAGATGGAGTAGTGGTGGATGAGAATCCGGAAAGGGAGAGTGAGAGTATTGTCAAGGATGTGGAAGAAGATGTTGGAGTAAAAAAGGATGATGAGGTAAAACAGGCAGATGGAACCAATGAGGGGCAGAGTGAGTTGAGTGGAAAAGTTGATGTTGACGATAAAAGTGATAGTGTTATTGAAGAAGATGGTGTGAAGTTAACTGATAAAGGAGACGTCATAGTGGACTCGTCCCCTGTAGAATCTGTGCATGTTGATGTGGCAAAACCAGGGGTAGCTGTTGTAGGAGACGCAGAGGCAAGTGAGGAGTTGAAGATTAATGCCGATGCGGAAAATCTTGAAGTGTCTAATACGTTTGATCAAATTGGGCGTGATGATGGTGGTGGATTTGAACCTGAGTCTGATAAGGCCATTGAGGAGGTAGAAGAAAAAATGACTAGCGCAGCAGACTCCTCTAAACTAGAATCTCTGGATACCATTGCTGCAGATCCAGAGGTTGTAGCTGCCCAAAGTGTGACTGAACCGGAGGATGTGAAAGAAGCTAACGGATTGGAGAAGGGTATGACTTATGCTGAGGTAATCAAGGTAGCTAGTGCAGTAGCTGACAATGGAACCAAGGAGGAGGAGAGTGTGTCCAGTGGCGTAGTTAATGAAGAAGAAGAAGTTGTTAACTTAACGAACAAAGGAGACTTTGTGGTGGACTCATCTGCTATAAAAGCTGTGGATGTAGATGTGGCAAAGCCAGGGGTTGTGGTTGTTGGAGATGTAGAGGCGAGTGAGGTGCTGGAAACTGATGATAACATTCTTGATGTGCATAATAAGTTTGATCCAGTTGGCCAAGTTGAAGGCGGTGGAGTTGAACTTGAATCTGAAAAGGTCACTGAGGAGGTAGGAGAGAAGTTGACGAGCGAAGGAGACTCTATTGTTGACTCCTCTGTGGTGGACTCTGTTGATGCTGATATCAATGTTGCCGAGCCAGGGCTTGTGATTGTTGGGGCAGCGAAGGAGGCTGAAATTAAGGAAGATGATGAGGTTGACAAGACCATCCCAAATATTGAGGAACCTGATGACCTGACTGCTGCATATGATGGAAATATAGAATTGGCTGCTAAGGAAATATCAGAGGCAACCAAAGTAGTGCCTGACGAACCAAATGTAGGTGTGGAAGAAAAAGAATTGCCTGTTTCTGAAAATTTGAATCTGGGTTCAGTTGATGCAAAAGAGGATTCAAATCCCGCAGCTGAGTCACAGTTTGAAGCAAACCCTAACCCGGAGGTTCCTGAAGGGGACAATGCTGAAGAGGGTGGAAACAAGCTCCCAGTCGAAGAAATTGTATCTTCTCGTGAGTTTAGCTTGGAAGGAAAGGAAGTAGACCAGGAACCTTCTGGAGAAGGTGTTATGGGGGTTGATGGGTCTGAAAGTGAAGAAGAAACTGAAGAGATGATATTCGGGAGTTCTGAAGCTGCAAAACAGTTCTTAGCAGAGCTGGAAAAGGCTTCCCATGGTATAGATGCACTTTCTGATGAAGCAAACATTTCTAACAATATGTCAGATAGGATTGATGGCCAGATTGTCACTGATTCTGACGAGGATGTAGACACAGAGGATGAAGGGGGGGAGAAAATGTTTGATTCTGCAGCTTTGGCTGCGCTTTTGAAGGCAGCCACTGGTGGTGGTAGTTCAGAAGGTGGCAATTTTACCATAACATCTCAGGATGGTACGAAGCTTTTCTCTATGGATCCACCTGCTGGTTTGAGTTCATCGTTAAGGCCCTTGAAACCTGCAGCAGCTCCACGTGCTAACCGTTCCAACATCTTTTCCAATCCTAATGTCATAATGACGGATGAGACTGAGGTTAACTTGAGCGAGGAAGAGAAACAGAAATTGGAAAAGTTGCAAAGCCTCCGTGTGAAGTTTTTGCGGCTTTTGCAGAGGTTAGGGCATTCGGCAGAAGATTCAATTGCAGCACAGGTTCTTTACCGTCTTGCACTACTTGCTGGGAGACAAACAGGGCAGTTATTCAGTCTTGATGCTGCAAAGAAGAAGGCTATGGAGTCTGAGGCTGAGGGAAATGAAGATTTGAACTTCTCTCTAAATATATTGGTCCTTGGGAAAGCGGGAGTGGGAAAAAGTGCTACTATAAACTCCATTTTGGGAAATCAGAAGGCGTCCATTGATGCTTTTGGGCTCTCAACCACTTCAGTTAGAGAAATTTCTGAAACAGTGGGTGGTGTCAAGATTACCTTTATTGATACTCCGGGTTTGAAGTCTGCTGCGATGGATCAAAGTACAAATGCAAAAATGTTGTCCTCTGTAAAGAAGGTAATGAAGAAGTGTCCCCCTGATCTTGTTCTTTATGTGGATCGGCTTGATACCCAGACCAGGGACTTGAACAATTTGCCCTTGCTAAGGACGATTACTGCTTCTCTTGGTTCATCCATATGGAAAAACGCCATAGTTACATTGACCCATGCTGCTTCTGCCCCTCCTGATGGCCCATCTGGCACCCCATTGAGCTATGATGTGTTTGTAGCGCAGTGCTCACATATAGTGCAACAGTCTATAGGACAGGCCGTTGGTGATTTACGCTTGATGAACCCAAGTCTGATGAATCCTGTTTCTCTTGTTGAGAATCACCCCTTGTGTAGGAAGAACCGGGAAGGAGTGAAGGTTCTCCCGAATGGCCAAACTTGGCGACCTCAGCTGTTGCTATTGTGCTACTCCCTAAAGGTTTTGTCAGAAGCAAATTCTCTATTGAAGCCTCAAGAACCATTGGACCATCGTAAAGTATTTGGTTTCCGAGTTCGATCCCCTCCTCTGCCTTACTTGTTGTCTTGGCTGTTGCAGTCCCGTGCACATCCTAAGCTCCCTGGAGACCAAGGTGGTGATAGTGTTGATTCTGATATCGAAATTGATGATGTGTCTGATACTGAGCAGGAAGAGGGGGAAGATGATGAGTATGACCAGCTGCCACCATTCAAGCCTCTTCGAAAAACCCAACTTGCAAAACTCTCAAAGGAACAGAGAAAGGCATATTTTGAGGAGTATGATTACAGGGTAAAGCTCCTGCAGAAGAAGCAGTGGAGAGAGGAATTGAAGAGGATGAAAGAAATGAAGAAAAACGGGACGAAGGTGGGTGAAAGTGAGTTTGATTATCCAGGAGAAGAAGAGGATCCAGAAAACGGGGCTCCAGCTGCAGTGCCAGTTCCATTACCTGATATGGTTTTGCCACCTTCATTTGATAGTGATAATTCAGCTTTCCGATACCGTTTTCTGGAACCCACTTCCCAACTCCTAACCAGGCCAGTGTTGGACACCCATGGTTGGGACCATGACTGTGGATATGATGGTGTCAATGCAGAACACAGTCTTGCTGTAGCAAACAGGTTCCCTGCTACAGCTACTGTCCAAGTCACCAAGGACAAGAAAGAGTTCAACATTCATCTGGACTCCTCAGTGTCTGCTAAGCACGGTGAGAATGGATCCACTATGGCAGGGTTTGATATCCAGAATGTCGGGAAGCAGCTGGCATATGTTGTCAGAGGAGAAACCAAATTCAAGAACTTGAGGAAGAACAAGACCACTGTTGGAGGGTCAGTGACTTTCTTGGGAGAGAACATTGCCACTGGTGTTAAACTCGAGGACCAAATAGCACTGGGGAAAAGATTTGTGCTTGTGGGCAGCACTGGGACAATGCGATCACAGGGAGATTCGGCCTATGGTGCGAACCTCGAGGTCAGGCTTAGGGAAGCTGATTTTCCAATTGGACAGGACCAATCCTCTTTAGGGCTGTCTCTGGTGAAGTGGAGAGGTGATTTAGCCCTCGGAGCCAATCTCCAATCTCAAGTCTCTGTTGGAAGGCAGTCAAAGATCGCGCTTCGTGCAGGACTGAACAACAAGATGAGTGGACAGATCACAGTCAGAACCAGCAGCTCAGATCAGTTGCAGATTGCTCTCACTGCCATTCTTCCAATTGCCATGTCCATCTACAAGAGTATTCGGCCAGAAGCTACGAACGACAAGTACAGCATGTACTAGAAATATCTACTCCATCTGCTGATGAATGCTGCAGAAGGATCTTTTTTTTATATATGTTACTGGTTTCAGTTCATGTTATTTTCCACAATTAAATAAAAACTTTTGAGATTTTATCAAAGTTGTATTTTGTTCTGTTGAGAGGTTCCCATCGGATTTATCATGTATCAGTAATTCTTCAATTTTAGTAGCCCTTCTCATCTTCTCTTTACTGTTCTTCAGATAATGAAGCCTAGTGCAGTTTTTATCTTTTGGTTCTACTTCTCTTGCTAATGATGTTGCTCGGCTTGTGTTTGCTAATTTGTCACTTAAATTTCTGCAGAAGATACTAAATGTTCGTTGAAGAAGCAGGTGCGTACACTGTTAATAAGATATATTTTCTCACTAGAATCTTCATCTCATAGTATTCTTAACCAGGATCTTACTGTTCTTCCTTATCCCCTTGAAGGCAATGGTATGTGTTCTGTGTAGTATAGAAATCTGTAAGGCCTCTTCTTCCACACTCCAGTCTCCACTTCTTGTTTTATATATATTCTTTGTAATAGATTTTGAATCTGTATAAACCTCTGGAAATTATTCAATTATTGTGGTGTATGAAACTGGATGATAATAACAGAACAAACTCTGAATAAAGGAAATACTTTTAGTGTAGCAAAACCTTAAACTTTTACGGATGACCAGAGTCAGCAAAGTATCTGCAAACCATTGGAAGCATGAGCATTTAAGGTGGTCCTGGAGAAGAGTCGTGATTGAGGGTGAAAAATACAAACTTGCTGCTCTAACCGTTTCTCTAATTTATAGAAAGGTGAATAGGTCCAGAAATCTGATGTGTTTTGTTTTGTCTGATTTGAAACTAAAGACTATTTTACTCATCATTTTCAGACCTGACAAAGCAAGGACACTTTAAGGATAAGAACGTCCAAAGTCTTTCAGGAGAAACGTTTGTTTCTCTTCCCCAACGAGAAACGTTTTAAAGTAAGATTTCCACAATACTAAAGTTTTGGTATACTCTTCTCATTAGTCAATAACTCTATAGTTGAAGACATTGCAATCTTTGCATTAGTTAACTAGTGTAATTGATGTATTTTCAGAATCGCTTGAAGATTAGATAAATGGTTTATGACAAAGGTCTCTTTAGGACATACAGACACTCACATAACTAGAGAAAAACAGACGATACAACATGATAGATAAGACAGAGTAGTGACAAACTGGGCGATGAGGCCGCCGCTTATTTACTCTTAGCATATTATTATAGTGACTGAACCAAAACCATTTCTTTTTACTGAAGGATCTTCTGGGAAGCTGGCCTCTTGGTGATCTCAGTCACCCACTCGTTAACACGTGGACGGTTGGTGAAGAGCTTCTTGGTGGGAGTTCCGAGCAGGTATTGAATCACGGGGATGTGGTGAAGATCGGTCAAAGTGAAAGTCTCACCAGCCAAGTACTTGAACTCCTTGAGCCTAGCCTCGTAGACATCAAGGACCTTGTCTAACTTAGCCTCTTCTTCCGCAACAACAGCTTGGTCAGTGGTCAAGCCATATATGTTCTTGAATACTTGTTCCCAAGCAAGTTTTGAAGCCACTGGGTCGAACTGGTGAGCTTCTACTTCCATTCCAATGGCCATGACTGCGTACTGAGATACGTTCTTGGAGTCAGCTGGGAGAAGGTTTGTTCCTTGGTTTTCATATCGGTGAGCTATGTACTGAGTAATCGCTCTTGATTCTGCACAAAAAGATCCAACTACTATTAGTGAATTTGCTTTCTCCTATTGTCAAATAAGAGATTGAAGATGATGCATGGGAAAGGTTCATACCGAAGAGCTTGAGGTCTCCATCTTCAAAGGCTGGAACTTGTCCAAAAGGCTGAAGAGAAACAAAGTTCAAACACAAAACATTATTAATATTCAGGACAGATACATCAAACAGTTGGTCTTGTCTAACAGCAACATATACTTACGTTGCGGGAGAGGAAAGGCTCCTTCTTGTGCTCACCGTCTTTGAGCTCCACATGAACGAGCTCAAAGTCGAGGTTTTTCTCGTGGAGGGCGATGAGGACTCTCCTGGTGGAAGTGGAAGTAGCGTGTCCGAAAACTTTGATACCTGCCATTGATTTGGTTACTTAGAAACTCTCTGTAGAGTGAGAAGAGTAAGGGATGTGATGTGTTTGATGTTGAAGGTGAAAGTGATGTGAATTAAGACACTAGTAGTGATGGTATTTATAGAGGAGCATTTGTGCATTCTCGCTCGTTAGTGTTTATTATAGTATAATTTTTAACAGATAGTAACGCTTCTACAAGACCGTCGCAACCAATATTGACTAGTCTTCTTAGCGGATTTTTCAAAGCTGAATTGGATTGATCAACGTTAGAATATTTGTTTCTACACTGGCTATGAGATAAAGTTTTAATTAAGCATTCAATGTATTCTGAGAAAAGATCAAACAAAGTGCGTAATATAATGGCCATATGACTCAAACTTCCACCTACGAGTCAATAAGCTTCATCTAGTTACTTTCCCTGGTTATGGCCGGTTCGGTTTGTTTTCCGGGAAATTTTGTGATGCTCTCGGTTAAAAAGGTTTCGTTGGAACAAAGTCTACTTGGATATACGAATCCAGGTTTTACAGTTTGAATTATTCTGTTGATTAGAGCAATCAAAAATAAAACCCATTATGGCTTTTTTGTGTGCTTTTGATTATATCCTTTACTTAAATAACATTTTGCTCTGTCTAAGATTGAATATCTTTTACCTTTTCATACGACTTTTCGTTTGCTTTTTTTGTTTGTTGAGTTCAGTTTTGTAGAATTGTAAATGAAAAGGTGTTTCAGTATTTTTTTTAGTCTGAATTGGTTCAGAATTCAGATCAGACCCGTTCAGTTTTATTAGGATCAACTGAGCAAGTTTAAAATTTTCAGTATGGCTTCTTGGTTCCTTTTGATGTGCACTTCAATCGACCAATGGCAAACTCTAGTGGTTGAAAAAACTGAACAAACGTATGAATAAAATGATAAGCAAAGATGTTAAGAAGATGGATTATCAAACGGATTTACTTGGAGAGAAAAGAATCCTCTTTTTGACAATCTGTCAGAAAAAATACAAAAACACAACAAATAGTAAAGAGGTTGTAGCCTATCACAGTCCCTTAAGCTGTTCCAAAGCACCTGTCAAAGTTGTCCACTTCTCAAATGCGCCAGCCGATGACACGAAAGCGAGCTTCGATGATTCTATATCGTTCTTGTTCACTGTGAAAAAGGAATCAAAACCAAGTTTCAAAAAGATATTTACAATGTTTTAATGACAGTTTTGATTCCTGTGGATAAAGAAGTAAAGAATAAGAACAAGACCTGATGTAATAAGAGAAGCTAATGATGAGTTAAATGCTTCCACTTCTGTATTCTCTTCTGGGGTTGTACTCAACTGTCATAAGAATACAAAGAAGGACGCTATCAACAAACAGTAATAAAACCATTAAACAAAGTCTAGCTTATGTAAAGAAAGAGAAACAAGATCGATGCTTTAACCAGTTGTATTTACACTCAACCAATAAATTTGACCTTAGCTAAGAGTTAAAAGGAGGAAGAAAAACCTTTGTGAAAGCCAAATTAACAGTTTTGACCCATTCGGTATCAGTGCCTTTCCCTAAAACCAAACCTGCAGCTGATAGATCATTGTTCTCAATGGCTTGTCCTACTTTACTTAGCTTGAAGACAAGATCCTGCAAATACCCTGTACATTGTATGCTTTTAGGTTGAGAACCAAGATGATCATAACACAAAGACCAACAGATTTGTCCCAAAAAGAGTACTACTTTTCATCAAAATGTTCTGATTACTTCATGTTGGGTTGAACGGAAGTAAAACGAAACAAAAATCAGATTAAAGTTCAATGTAAGTAGCATTGAAACAACCCAAATACTTACGAATTTTACAAAGAGAAAACAGATGCATCCTCTAAATAGTAAAACTTCCATCAGTTTGTTCTGATTACATCATGTGGCATCGGAGGAAGATAAGTTTAACAAAACCAGACTATGACAACCGATTAACTATGACAACCATAGCACAAAGAGAAGACATATTTGTGAATAAAAGAGTGAACTTTTCCCTAAATTTGTTCTGAGTACTTCATGTACCATTGGAGGAAGAGAAATCAAACAAAACCAGTTACTTATGAAGACCCTAACACGAAGAGAAAACAAATACGACCTCAAACAAGAAAACTTTTCCATCAATTTGTTCTGATTACTTCATGTGGCATTGAAGCAAGATAAATGAACAAAACCATACTAGGGCTCAGTATGAGTGTATGACATTGAAACAAGCCAAGTAAACTATGAAAGCTAGAGAAACCCGTGATGCTTCTGGTTACATGTACCTTCAAAGTCTGAAAAATAGTTCCTTTTGGGGTTTTCTAAACACTCAATCAAGATTTTCAACTTCTTCAACACATAGAGAAGAAAACAAAACCAAGTTTTGCAATACACACACAAAGATGAAAATTGATAATTTCAATGAAATAATGGGGGAAATTGAAAGAAGTACCTTTTTCCTTTACAGCAGAACTAAGAACAGCTTGTCTCTCGATCCTCTTCTTCCGATCTTGCTTCACTTTCTCCAGAAGCTCTTCATCGTCATCAGCTTCAAGGATCGCTGCATTCGCGTCTTGTCTTCTTCTGTCGTTACTCACGAGACCAATCGCAACTAAGCTGCTCATAAATCCAAGCGACAAATCCCTTCTGTTCCATAACAGAGACGATGTCTGGTTCTTGCTGTTTCCTGAGTATGCAATTTGGTTCTTCCTCGATGAAGTTGAAGGAGAGAGAGTGGCAGAGAAGAATGGGTTTAGGGTGGAAGAACAAAGGAGTGATTTCGCCATTTCAGCTTCTTCTTCTCTTTGAAATTTCTAGTTGGCATTTTCGAAGAGGAATGCTTTTATGTGTTTAGATGGTGATGAATGATGATAAGGTCTCCTTTGCTAGATTGTTGCGTTGTGTTATTTTCCTCCAATCACTCACTCTCACTGTTTTTTATTTATTTTATTTTTATAAATTAAAATTTCATTAAAAATAAGATAATTATACTGATTAGATGAGAAATTAGATTTTGGTCTAGGACTTGATCAATGATTTAGGAAGCCAAATTGGCCTCAACAAGGATATTTCCAATTTTTACCATTAACAAAATACAAACCTTTTTAGACTCTACTTTACCCCCAGAAAAAAAAAGAAGGAAGATCCTTTAAAAGCTATAGAAGCAAATACATTTGTTACTTCCACCACCAAAACTGTCGAGACAAAAACATCTTCCTCATCCTCTTATTATAAGCCATGAAAGCTCTAGCTTTGACTGGATCAGCATTCAGATACTCAAATGCATACATCTGTTTTGCTTCTTCCAACTCATCAATCTCCATCACTGCTTCCAACAAGTCCTCTGTATTGATCAACGTTTTGCTTTGGTCCACTGCATCAGCTAGGCGACGAATGCTAGAAGCAACTGCGAACATTGCTTCTTGGAACGGATCCGAGTTTCGAGGTCGTTTAAAAGGTTGCCTTAAAGGATCTCTAGGAGGAGGAGGAAGATCGTGAGACTCTTCATGCATATACTCATTGGCTCCTGCGTATGACTCTGTTCCATCTGTATCACTATGTTCTTCAGAACTTGCTAAAGGGAATGAAACAGAGTCTTCTTCAAAGTGTTTTACGTCGTTAAGATGAAGATTGCTTTCATTCTTCACTTTGTTATATCGACCTGAAGTTTGATAGTCACCGCATACTGTTCTAAGTTCTTCGTACATCTCAATTTGCTTTCCCCTAAATGCTTTTGCGTCTGGGTATACCTGTTCCAACCAATTATAAGTTATAAACAGTCCACAAAGAAAGATGATCTTTTAGTGAAAGAGCAAGGATTATGTGAGAGAGATATATACTTACAGCAATATATCTTTTCCAGAGCTCATCACTTTCGCAATCAATCATTTTGGTGCTCGAATTCCACCAGAAACCGTCTTGACTAAGTATGTCTCTCATCACTCTGTACCTTTTCTTGATCGTCTTCAGACGATTGATAACTTTTTGGCTATTCAGATTTAGATTGAAACGAGTATTGACCGCAACACAAGCAGCAGTGTATGCATTCTCGTTGAAGCACTTGTCTACTTTGTTCCCGTTTTTCGCCTGGACAGCCAAAGCTTCAATCAGACACTTATCCATTCCAACAGACCACACAACATTTCTACCCTTATGTTTCATCTGACTTCTCTGTACTGGGATGCCATACTGATCCATTCCTGAATCATTTATGTAAAAACCATGGAATAGCACAACATGTCAGAAAGTGATCAATCACAAGAGGAAGCCACAGAAAAATTATAAATGATCAATCAACAAAAACACAATTCTATGCATATTACTATATGCCACAATATCACAAACAAAAACAGCTTGGTTATTCACACACACAAACAAAGAGGGTAAACTAGCTTCCAATTCGATCATATAAATATGTTCTCAACTTATCAAAAGATATGTTCCAACACAAACTCACAAATTTCACATTTAACAATCCTTCAATTTTTTCAGAATTAACATCACCAGAGTGATCACAGAAACACATGCCGTGAAGATTATTCCATAAAGAACTAGATCACGGTCACTAATAACGTGTACCAGGCACTAAGCTCATAATAGGACAGAGATGTTTCTTTTATCATATATAGAAACAACGTTTGGGAAAGTGACAACACATAATTGTAATAGTATTCTGAAATCTTCTTCTTCCTTCTCAAACTTATATGCTTTTTGTTTCCAAGGCATGATCACAATGAAAAGTAAAACCATCTCAAGTAAGAGAGATTCAACGGCATTGACAAAACAAAAAAAAGACAGAGAAATCAAACACCAGGTCTGCTAAATGTAGGTGAACTCTGCTAAACTTGAGACAAGTAGCGACATAAAGTTTTATCAACTAAGTTTCATCAGATTTAAGATACTATTATAACAAATCATCATATACTTGAAGCTATAGTAACTGTAGAAATCAGAGAGCCATTGCCAAATAAAATATAAAATGAGGTTACTCACCTTCGCAGAAAACGAAATCAGATTTTGACGGCAGTGAGTATCACCGAATCAGATCGCCGCCGATGAACGGAAGAGTCAAAAATGGCGGAAGGGCGACATTTCCGAGAAGGAGAAGCTGGGGATTAGGGTTGGGTTTGGGTTTCCCCCAATTCTGATTTTGTCGAAAACACAAAAGTCGTCGTCGAAGAAATTTGCCCATTATCGCTTTGACAATACGGTGCGTTTCTTTGAAAAAAGGAAAAAAAAAAATGGACCCAGAAGAATAAAGATCCGTTTTGGTCTGATAATTTTCTTGCCTTTTCCCGGAAAATTTTCTTCTGAAACCATTACTTTACTTTTTTTTTTTCTCTGTTTTTTTTTTTATTTGGTTTCCCGTCTTGGTCTACGTGGCTTCATCCATCATGGGTCTAATATATAAATATTTAATGGGTAGGCTGGGAAAAAACCTTATTGGGCCGAGATTGATATAATTTCTTAAAGCCCAATTTAAACGCACCGACCCAATTCTTCTACCCAAAAAAACGTAAACCCTAGCATTCTCCTCTATCTTATATATTGCCGCTTGTAAACTTGTTTTCCTCTCAACTCATTCTTTTGAACGATCTTGATTCCTCGTCTTTACGGTTACTCTCATTGCTGTTTCGATTCTTTTCTTCCTTTAATTTTGTTCGCTATGATTGTTTTTCAGAAAGAGTTTGGTTCCTTGGAAATTTGTTTGAATTTGGTTTTTTTTTTTTTATATATAGATTAGCTTCAGTTCGAATTTGGGAGTTGTAAATTAGGGTTTCAGAGTGAAGGCGGTGATGATGAAAAACTACCTATTTTCTGAGGAAACACATTGATTAGAAAATTTACCAATGGATCCTTCTGAGCCTAAACTCTTTTTTTTGTTTTCTTATAAACGTTTTCACAAATTCTTTTAGTTTTTTTGTTTCGGTGGAGAAAAAGGTTTTCTGATTTGTTTGTTCCGAGTTTGATGAGAAAAGAGCCAATGGAATGATGATAATGATTATTCGGAAATATTGATTTATTGTGTCGACCAAAACTCAGACTACAATTATCTGATTATTTGGCTTTCTCCTCATTAAACTCTTCTTTAATCTATATTTCTTATTTTTCTTTATTTTTTGAATCAAAAATTTCCAATTTTACAAGTTTTATGAACAAAACTTAATGACAATTGTCTACCTACTGTTTATCAAATACCTATACACGAAATAAAAAAAGTTTACAATGAACATTAAGTTAATTTATTGGACAGTAGCTAATGAACAAATATACAATCGGGAAATTACCAAATTAAACCTTTTGATCTTCCTTTATCAGAAAGTGCTTGTAGTACTTCTTTTTAACCATAAAGTATTAATCCAACTATGAATTAGTGTTATGCTCTAATTATGGGAATGCAACATTCATGTTTATGGAGTAAAGGATTTCGTCGTATTATATATGATGGGGACTGTCAAAAAAGTCATAAATCTTCTCAATGGAATAAGCATTGGATCAAAGAGGCGAAACATTGGCAAAATCTGTTTGATGAATGTCAAATTCGTTTGGACTCCCAAGAACAAATAATCATCCAGCTGACTTTGATAAAGCATCATCTACCTTCTAATGTTCCTTTCTATTATTATTTATTTTTTTTGTCGACCCTTTCTATTATTTATTATCAATGCGCTCCATTGTTTTGTTTGTAGCCATGTATAAGGTTTAATTTGATAGAGTTTCAGAAGTTTGAAAAAAAAAAAAAGAAGAAAATCAACTATAATTGTTCGTGCGGAAATTGATCATTTACAAGAAAAACAAAACCTTAAATGGTTCTGATTTGTTTGTCCAACAAAAAACAATGGTTCTAATTTAGATAAAAATTTGGAGAACAATGAGATCAATAATTCTTTGGAAAACAACAAGGTAAAAACAAATATCACAAAAGATTTCTATTACAAAGATTTGAAATTACAATTTGATCGGTTGCGGCATAAAATCTTATTCAGATAGCTGAGTTAGACGTTTGAAAACATAACAGTGAGTAAGTTTAGTAAACTTTAACGATCCATTCCTTCTTTCAGTTTATTAACTTATCTCTTATGAATCTTTTGTGAGTTAATAATAATGAAAAATCGGTGTCCCAAGGTGTGAAAAATGCTAACTGAGCCTTGACAAACAAACAATTTCTTGTATTGAAGATCACACGAACCAAAATTCTCTTATTTGTTTCAACGCCATCTTTTGTTTTGGTTCCAATATGGATGAGAGGAAGAATCATGCTTCCTCGATGGTTGTTGTTGTTGTTGTCCTCCTCTTATGTTAGGATGGTTCCTACTTGGGCTATGATCAGGACTCCATGATTCATATCCTGGATTGCTGCTGCTCATGTACTGGTTATTCCCCTGGTAAGAGGAAGACTGTGACACCGATGCAACATCGTTTGCTTGATGTGAGTAGTAACTGTTCTGACTCTGCTGCAACCTCCATGAACCCAATGTAGCCGTGCCCATTTGTCCTACTGGTTCCCTAACACCATACGATGTTGTTGACATTGGTTGTTGTTGAAGATGATGATTGTGATGAAGTTGTGGTTGCATATGTTGTTGTTGTTGTCTTTCTGTGTGAGGTAATATGAGCGAGTTATTATATGCTGCTGTAGCATGTCGTGGGATAGCTTGTTCGTTTGTTGATTGCCATTGCATTGAATTAGTAACATGATGCTGAGTAACCAATCTAGCAACTGGAGCACCAACTTGTTTTTGCCTAGAAAATGGATTCCGAATTGCTTCTTGTCCCCATCCACTCTGCAAAAATAGAATAATACACATCTAATTCAGTCATAGGATAAGAATCAGTGAACATAAACCTCTTGTCATGGAGGCATTGTACTTATCAGGTTAGATCTATGGTGTAATGGAATCACAAACGGTTTGGTGATAGCTAGAGCTTGTCGTATACTTCTTTCGTTTTTTTCTTTCTATATACATCATTTTTCCAATCATCAATTAACATATGATTTGATTCGGCAACATGATCTATCATTATGGTTCCAGATATGTCCGAGGAATTTGGGGTGTATGGGTATCGAATAACGCACCATTCCAGGATTAGTTGATGGAGTGGGAGATGGAAGAGAAACTTCGACCTTTTCTTCTGCCTGCTTATTTGAGCTACTACTCGAGTTTGGTGCACCAGTCTTAATCACATCAAGCAGTTTTACCATATCTTGGCCGGCTAAATTACTGGGCTTGCCAGAAGTCAGTGCATAAACAAGATCTGGGTTCTTAAGTAACGCAGCTAATAATTCAAGATCAGGTTCAGGACTGCTTAGAGACGACGAGGTTGTGGCAGCACTGGCAGCAGTTCTTCGTTCATCAAGTGAATTCTGTGGTTCTGTTATACTTTCGTCCGGTGGCTGTTGAGATGGAATTTCAGGGGTCAAAGTGTCATCAAAGTCCATTTCTCTGTCCCATGGTTCCTTAGGGTTTAACGGTATAGTTTGAAGAGACTGATATGTTGTTTCTCTTTCTCGCCTGTTTCTATTTCTCTGAACATCAGCCTCCTTGCTATTACCACCAGTAGCTACTCTCCATACTTCATCAAGTACCATTCCTGCAGAAAACTAGACATTAGAACGAGACCTGAATAAACACTAGAATAGAAGTGGACTAATGAAACATCACATCACTTTCTGCTTGTTCCACAAGTGGTCAATGAGATAGAAATCTGAAGAATGGCATACCTGGTGGTACATGCCAATCAATCTGTTTTCTCTTACAATTCTTGAGAATAGTTTGTGGACTCATTTTCACCAAAATTCCCACCTTACTAGAAATGCTTTTAGGAGGTGTTAAAGGTTTTTTAATTTCATCAGCTTGTACTTTGACAATTACAGCTGGTCCATTAACGGGCTGAACAGCCAAAGGTACATATGTATCTTCAGTCTTAGCTTCATTGTTCTGGCTAGGTGGAAAATCCTTGGATGACTCAAGAGCCAAGGGCTTCTCAGGAACAATAGTTCTCGAATCACCAATGGCACTTGGCAAAGGATCCTTTTTACTATTCTTGCTCTGCATAAACAGGGCACGCATCTTTGCTTTCTGAATATCATCAGCAGACATAGGCCGGCTTCGACTTGAAGTTCCTATTCTTACTGTCTGAGGACTCTTTCCAGCAGCTTTTTGGCCTGGTTGTTCCACCATCTGTACTTTCCTGCGTTCTTTGTTATCTGCTACAAGCTAAGGAAACTGACTTTGAAGCAAATTTTTATCTGAGCTAGGAAAAAGACCATAACAAGCGAAGTATCTGGCTGCTCTCTAGACATGGCAGGTTTCACTTGTATAATACCGACTCAATAACACAAGTATCTGAGCTAGGAAAAAGATCATAATAAGCATTTTCCAATGTGATGAGAAAACGTAACCATTTGGTGCTTCAAAAAAAGGGGTCAAACAAAGGATACATGATGGAGTTGAACCAAGCATGTGTTTCTTGGTGGAATCATCTGCGGAAGTAAGTAACAATTTTGGACCCTGTGATGATTCAAACCTCCTGGACCAAGAATACAACCAATAATTCTGAGACCAGCTAACTATCATAAGGGAAAATATTCTAGATGGAAGTTAACAATCAAACTGATACCTGACATTCTCTGACCTTCCATTTGAAAGACTAAGTATATCTTCCTGTTACAACACAATAAAAAGGTTTTAGGGAACTGATGCGGTGCACATAAATAGAAGAGATTCATGTTTTGCCCCACTTACAGGATTACTACTATCACCCATGATTTCAGCAATACTGCATAACAAGCCATAATTTGTGAGTAAAAAAGGCACTAAACAACAAAATCAGAGGTAAGAAAAAAGTATCTAGTCAACACATAAACCACAACTTGCCTCTGTTTCAGAAGCAATTGACTCTGCGAATCAATTTGCGAATTGTTACGATTTTGTTTCTTCATAGCTTGGATCTTTGCAAATAACTTGGTCCATCTTGATAACAAACCTTTTGCCCTGTTTGATATGTCTGATCTTCAAATCAGATAATGAAATCGAAGAAATCACAACAAGAACTTTGGAATATGGCTGACATATTTTGAGTTTATAAGAAATTACACCTGACGTCCTATAGAAGCGAAGTCCATTAACACTTTGCAATATGGCTGACATATTTTCAGGAGATGCTTTGTGGAGAGGCAAATGACAAAGAACCTGCGTGCTAAATATTAATTATCCATAATACAACAATTTTTGGTTTCTTTTCAGCAATCTGGCTGCAAAAACATTAATATTGTACCTTCAGGATAAGAAGTATGACACTTGTTTGCTCTTCAACAGCAGCTTGACTCAACCATGTTGTAAGTATCAAAACCCCTCCTTTTGATAAAAACCTGTGCACGCACAGGAAGTGTCAGTAAAAATGGGAATATAAAAACAATAAAATAGAAAAAAGGCATTGACTGAAAGAAAACCCTCAATCAGTACCAGATCAATACAGAAGAATCTTGTATCTGCATGATCCACTCCATTAATTTCACCTGGCCTGAAAATGATTCTTCTTTACGCAACAGTGCGAATATATTCTCAACAAAGTATTTGTCTGAATCACTGATGTCAGGTGGAATATCCTCCGGTGGAATAAGTGCCACTGTTTCAGCTGCACTCCAGCTTATAGAACATGCCTCTGGATGTATCGAGTTCAAGGGAACGGGATCAACATGATTTGTGCCATTGTTATCTTCAGGAACACCATCACCTTGTAAAGCATCTGTATTGGACAAAATAACCTTCTCTCTTGAAAGCCTCACCTGCCTCCTTACCCTTGTCTTTTGAGTGACAAAAAATTCTCGAACCTGGCATGGAAAAAGGAAATAGAGATACCACCAAT